GGTAGTGACCATCAGGAAATTCAGCAGATTGTCTCATTCATCGCATGCTCTCTTCGATGTGTTATGGAATATTTCATTCATCACGGATGATGATGAAAAAGTGTTTGGCATCCTCTAAACGTATATTTAACTTGTGTCTGCGGGCTAGTTCTCCTTTAAATGCCTCGTTATCATAGAATAACTGCTATGAAAACAACCATTGCCAATAGTTAATTTTCAACCTTAATATCCCCAAAAAACTAGCAAATAACAAACCATTACGGCTCTAAAACGTAAATAATAGTCTTTCTATGCTAAATTTCTTATATACCATGAGTTCTTGAAGTAATACATCCTCTGGGATATCATGACAGTTTTATCCATTTATACGAACACAATACTTGAAAATGTTGCTTTTTCAGCTATAGAAGCCTGGAACTAGTCATATATAATCTACTTTCACAAAAATAAACGCTTACAACGCCTCTATAGACGTGAACACGATAACCCATACAGTGCACGATAATATATCCCGACAACGTTTATCATCACCCGAAATAATAATAATGATAACAGCTAAGGTAATAATAATACAAGCGAAAATTGCTGTGGGCTTGTTTAACACAGTATTTAATAAACAATTTTTCAATGATTCTGTGTTGCTTCTGTTGTAATGCGATTGTGTTCCAGCAACATTAGTAACACGTGCTAAGGTAGGAATTGAGGGCATACTGTTGGGAGTAAATGCGGCGTCTGGGAAAATTTTGTTTACGCGATTAGATGAACAGATAGCAACTTACCGTGTTCTGTGGCTGCGAACTGTAGGCATTCTGTTTTTAATTATTACGATAACCGTAGTTGCACCTAGTTACACGTATCGAACAGTATAGGTACATTATTCCCATCTTGGTTTATTACGATAAGTAGAAATCACAAGCACACTATCTCAGGCAGATTTACTTTTCACTGTGTGACTGTGAATCCGAAGTCAATTAATAGGCTCCTACTGAGACGATACATAACTATAAGCTCTTATAATCTCAACGTTTTCTTTTACAAGTGGACGCAGTAACTTCATTACGGTGCGAAAAAGTCTTTTTATCAATAAGCCTTTCCGAATATCTAATTTTACTTAGCATCTTTAAGATCACGTCATATACTCCGTACCTCACAACTTACGCAAAGGCTAGAAATCAGTCTTATGAAGTAGAATATACAAACAAATAACGAGGAATACATTTATTAATGAATAAACATGTAATACAAAATCAACAACACTGGAGATATCTTTTTCTTTATCGCCCAAATCCATGAAATTCCCGAAAGTAGATATTATCTCAGAAAGAACATAAGAATTCTAAAGATGTAGACATTTTTACCACTGTAAATGCAATAATTAACTACTTAGCATGTTTAAAATAACGAAATAATTAGTTAAATTGTATATAAATACGTCAGTCAACATTTTTCAAGAAGAAAAAAATGGATATTGCATCTTCCTGTAAACATCAAGTCTATGCCATAAAATAAGTAAATACTATGCGTATATAATTTCTAAGTATTTCTGTAGATTTCCTTTAATGAAATACATGTGGAGGAGCTTTGACAGCATTAGCAAAAGTACACAACAAAGTAAATGAAATAATTAACAAAACGAACTATCCCACCTCATCATGTCCATGTATAATCCTTTAAACTGCAAAAAATCCATTAAAAGTCGTTATAACATGTCTCTTCAAGTAATTCGACATTTTCTGAACGGAAAAGTACGTATTTCAACAATTTGTAAACTGGCCGTAAATTACGGCCGGATAAGGACACCATCATTTGCTGTTTATGCTAAAAACGCCTTATTCCATCAACTTTTAGCAGGAATATAAGTGTAAAAGTGTGTAAAACGACGAAATATTACCTAATTTTGAGATTTTTTCAATAAATAAAGCCAGTAGACATCAGCTGATCAAATGACCTACGGCCGTATACAGGCTGCCCAAGAATGTACCAAAGACGTGAGCTGGAAGTTATCTCCCCTGTGATTTCAACTGATTTTCTAAAGACCGATGCTCTGATGCTGCAAAAGAAAGACTCAAAATTGTTTTCTTTGCATCATCTCACAATGCAGCGACCTCATCTAAAGTCAACATGAGTACTGTGTCAGCTAAGTAAATGCAAATTACGGGTTAAATGCCCTTGACCATCCCTTGTATTAAATTAATTTCACATTCAACAGCAACCACAGAGGCTAACTCAGAAGTTCATCAGGCCAGTTTGTTATTGAAGGTTAAGTGGGCCAGGCTCAAAAGTCAGCAGGTAGCGTTGCGGCATATCAATCGTGAGCGTCACTTCTAGTCGAAACCAACTGGGAGTGGGCCCAAAGTCGCTCTCGCAGCCTAACTTCGTGGTTTCCTACAGTATCACCTATCAGTCGCCATTGGCGAATGCCTACGAGTATATCATGATAAATAAGTGAATCCGCGACTACTATAGTGTAGTGACATTGGCAAGTAGGAAAATCCGCTGAATAGGTTTGCGTAGACCTACTTTTAGCTAAATATATCTAATCCTGGGTGTTGCAGTGAGTTTCCCATTTGTAAGCTGAAATTAGTGTCCTCCTGGTGATCTATCCCTGCGGCAGGAAGGTTGCTGACTCCAGCACTCGTGTCTACCAAGTGCCGGGCTTGTTAACCTAAAGCTGGGCATGATGTAGGCGGCTATTTTTGCTAGCTACGTTTGTCGCTGCTGCGTGCCGACGGTGTAGTTTCCCAAAGTTGTTGAATCCTTGCCTAAACTGTAGGGTTTTCACAGCACTCGGACTCCATGCCATATGTAGTACGGTGATAACACCAGTGAGAGTTACTAGATGAACGTGGTTTGGTATTCAGACGACCAGATGAGTTAATAAGTTGCGGTGAAATACGTCATCAGTGTGTGAAAATAAGGGAACTACCTGGCTTAATGAGTTACGTGGCTCTATCGTTTCATAGTTACTACTCGAAGATCGTTTACTGATCGAGTAAACTCCAGTGACTAGCTATATCGATATTTCCGGCCAGAGCAGCTAAACCACCTTTACCGTCTCTATGAAGTGTCACAACAACAGTAAACACCAGTCGTCACAACTCAGATTAGATAAATTCTCTAATGAGTCCCTCGTTGAATTTTCCTTGGCTGGTGGCCTCTCGCGCTGTTAAAGCATATGTGAGGCTGAAATAACACAACAGCGTGACAGATGGCGTAGATGACTGACTGTGAACTTCCGAATTAATGAGTGGACTTTAATAGGGACAATGACAATGACTGTTGGGTGGTGAGTGTTGTAGGCTAATAATTTTAGGGAAATATTTACCTGTATAGGTGCATTCTGCGCAAGTATTAACCCAAGGATTTTGGAAAATACTGACGGAATTTCTAATAGTTGAATGAAACAAGCCTCAAAACTCCAGGGTTGGTCGAAGAACATATAAACCATAAATACTCGAGGCCCTCCAGTTTTCCACAGAACCCGTGAGGTTAGCTAACGGTAGACTGAAGGCAGCGAAGATGAAATTCGATTGCATTCCACAGCTGGTGACCGTCTGTTCTCCCGTTAGTCAAAATAGATTCACTATTACAGATGTTGCCAATAAGTCAAACTGACTGGCTCCCTAGTAATGACTAAAGAGCCATAAGTACTTAAACTACTCTGAGCTGGCACCCTACTTTTGGCATCGAATACTGTTATCACTTAGTTCTGATGTGGTTTGTTTGAACTGCTCAGGATTCACAGGAAGAAAAAGTCTTCTCACATTTTCAGGAGTGGGCGATCAAGTTTCATGGGACAGTTAGCACAATAACGTTACCTTTTTGGCATTCCCTATTTCATCTTCAGGTATTTCTCCTTTTTCTCGTACTGTTGTAGAGGCAAATAATTGCCCGAGATCATCAGTCCACTGCATCATTCTTCCAACATTTGGTTACTTTAAAGGGACCTCTTAAGATGAAGGCACGTGGTCAAGCATCCACTCCATTTACCACGCTGTAATGTTGCGTTCGATGGATGGTACACGAACCATATCTAGCTAAGCAATCATCATCGACCTACGTTTCTGATCTAGAAACATAACTCGCATTTTGTACCATCAGTTGGTTATTTTGCTTTACCTGTGGTCTCAACAGATCAATTACCTTGGGAGTTACAAGATAATTGCTTGAGATTGGATACAGTACATCTTGATCGGGCCTCAACATCTTTTACCTGCTAAACTTTTTTGTGGTACATTCAGTCCTATTGCCTTTTCTTCTGTTTTTTCACCCACCCACTCTAGGAATTTTCTCTCCGTTTTCTTAATACCTTGCCTGATCCACTTCAAGGAGAGTTTAGTAAAACCATTAGGAAAGTCCTGATAGAGTCACTACCTCAGTACAAAGTACCCCCTATTCAGCCTCCAGTGCATCAACACCAGTGGGTAGAAGAGATCTTTCTCATTTTATTGAGTTGAAAAACTATAAATTCTTCAAAATACCGAAGGTGAGACCATAGAAATTAAAAGGATTACAAAAGCTTATCAGTTAAGAAGGATGCACATGCACGAAAACCGGTATTTAGCCAGAAGAAAGGCATCGTTTATATCGATGTTAAGTATGACTCACTTTTGGTCAACAAAATACAAACAAAAGTTTCTTCATTAGAATCACAGCATTGTTTGTTATAACTCCGGTCAAGGTTAAGTCTGAAGGATGACCTTAACCAGGGCATTATATATATTTCGTGCGTTTAATCCTATTTGTAATACCTTCAAAATGGTAAGTTCCTCGTACACGTTAACTGGCATACTTAGTCTTCTACTAACGGTACTACAAATTCAATATACGATTTCTCTGCGAAAGATATTGATGGTAATGAAGTTCCTCTAGAAAAATACCGGTATGTCAATCGTAATTGAAATTATACAATAATATTCACATATAGTGGTCATGTATGCCTCATAGTCAACGTTGCTTGCAAGTGAGGTGCAACTGACAAGAACTATCGCCAACTCCAGATGATGCACACTCAACTGGTTGGCAAAGGTCTCCGTATTTTAGCTTTCCCATGTAATCAATTCGGTAGTCAGGTATGCTGTTTCTTAATAATATCAATATAAAATTTTAGGAACCATGGCCTGAAGCTGAAATTAAAAAGTTTGTAACTGAAAAGTATGGTGTTGAGTTTGATATGTTCTCAAAAATCAATGTGAACGGGCCTAATGCTCATCCTCTGTTTAAATTTTTAAAAAGTAGACTTGAGGGTACACTTACAAGGTGAGTGAATTCTTTTTTCTCAATTTCCCAACATTTTCAGTTCTATTAAATGGAACTTCTCGAAATTTTTAGTAGATCGTGAAGGTCAACCAGTTAAGAGATATTCTCCTACAACTGCTCCAATTGTAAGTTAATAAGTAACATTCTGTGTTTTGTTTTTTGGTGTACGCTTTGAATAATTAAACTATAATAAGGGCCAACTGTAGGGTTTTTGAATTCACTTCAGCATTATGTTAATTGTTTAATGAGCAATCTATTCTTACATTCAGTGTAGACATCATTAATACTGTCAGGATGCTAACACGTAGTCCTGTTCATTAAATTGATTCACCATATTTCATATTCCCATAAAAATTTAGAAGTTTATAATGAAGAAATCGTGGTTGGAAAGTTGGCACGGATTCGATAGATGATGTTAAAATCATGGTGATGGTTGGTAGTGACAGAAGTCGATCAGGCGTTGTAGATTTGAGCTTTGCACACATTTCCTCTCTCCCTTGTAAAACCAGACTGCTGGAATATGTTCTCATATCCGTGGGGAAAGCGGCGTTCTCTGGCTACGGTCAATGTACTTTAATCCACAAGACAAGGTGATCTGACAGATGCACATGGAGGCGGTCAGATGAGGGAGCTGGAGAACAAATTACGGTTAGTGAACGTCATCTGTAATTTTGCTGCAAAGAACGCCGTAATGACTGATTTAGAGAGACTTGTTTTGAGCATATCTGAAGCCTGATCTTTGAATTCCAAATTCATGAATATGGTGTTCTTTGGAACTGAGTCGATGACCAGTTTGGACTGCTGATCTTTGTTGTTTCTGTCAATAAATCGGTTAAGGTAACCGTTTTCTGCGAGCATGGCCTTTAGAAAGTCAAGTTCTGTGTCAACGCAATCAAAATTACTAATGTTTCTTATTATAAAGCAGGGCAAATGAATTTGGTTCCTTTTCCTGGAGATAAACACTCAACTATAAAAATTAGTTAGTTGTCCATTCCATTTACCTTTCCAGTGGATGGGTCTTTTAAGAGAGATCCGTCTCTGCGTCTACTAAGGAACACATCAAAAAAGGAATGCTTAATTCGGATTCCTTTTCTATGTTGAGTTGTAAAGGAGGATGGTAGTTGTTGAATGCGAACAACACATCATCAAGAATTACGTTATTATCTCAGATAACGAAAGTATCGTCCACATATCTTCCAAAAACATAATAATATAGGTAAAGTTATGCAGATACTTACTCTAATTCCTGTGGAGTTGACTTGAGCAACTATTAAGGCTTATAGTCTCTTCATTTTCGTAAGACAATAGTGCAAAATGATCAGTTCACTAGTATCCTCCTCCTGTAAAGTATGACACCGTTGTTTCGAAACAACATTTGGAGTGCCCAATTATAGTGTGGTTAGAGAATAACCTATAGCCAAGTTGAGTGTTTATGTCATGTTTCATACATTTGCACATGACATTGAATGGAGTGTTATATATAAAATGTCTGTCCACAAATTCCAGAATAGCTCAGTTGGACCTTCGTGTTGCTTACTGACCAATGCCTTAGTTAAATGAAAGGTTGTCACTTTTTCATAAAATTTACCATTTTATCTAGATGAGTTGCTAACAGTGGATGACTCCACCGATAGTTACTACCTTGACGTAGTGGTCGGAATCGCATATCGCAATGACCCAACAAGCTACCCTGGCTGCAACTAATGTTCCTACAGGTTCTACTATTCCAAGGAGATTGTTAGGTTAGTGATTAGAATAAAAGCAGTTAGCAGCATAGTATAAGATTTTCCACGAAATGCTCGAGGTCTGTGAGCAAAGCTGTACTGCTGGAGAATAGGGATGTAACAGCAGTAAGGTGTTTTCCTAAGATAACCAGCATGCACGCCAGCTATGCTGGAGAGGGAGTTAGTAATAAGTGTATATCCCGACTTACCCTACGGCGGTCCGTAGCTGACGGTGAATCACTAATACTGAACCAAACCTAAAAGCCAGTTCAGACAGGCCGTATGTGTGACCGGCCTCAAGCAGTTATCCCGTCTGGACTCTGTGATCACGCAACACTTATTCTCTATATGTTTCAAGTACCCCAAGAAAAGACCAACTTCCACGTGTGCGCAGCGGGAAAGTAACAACCGCCCACACACTTCCAAAAACACACGAAGCGCTCCTGATCACCAGTCCCCTCTACAGTAGATGAATAGGCGAATACAAGTAACTTTAGGCTTTTAAGTGAAATTTTCAACTGTCGAGTTATTTTCAAATCATTTAAACTATTTTAGCTGTTGAAATATTCACAGCTGTCTAAGGTAGATTATTTTGTTTTTAATGCTCAGTGTTTCTCATTAATCATAACAATAATAACAACAACAATTATACTCTTTAATAATTCTACATTTTAGGATATCGAAGGTGATATTTTGGAGCTGTTAGAAAAGAAGTAGTCAAGTGGCAGCATTTCAAGCTAATTGTACAGTTTTTCACCTTGATGACGATGGCAGTCTCAAATATTTCCCTGATTGTCATCCGATGAAATCAGTTTTGTGTGCAGCTGATGATAGTGAAATTCTGTTTTCATTTAGCTTATTTGTACCCTTGATAAATACTTCTAAAGATAATTTCATGCGTTTTTTCTTCATGTGAATTAACTATGTAAACGTATACTGGTTGATGTTGGTTATTTAGTTGAAGGTAATCGATGGGTAGTCGTATTCAGCTTAAGTTCCATGCTTGTTGACGATGGTCAGCAAGGTGTATCCTCAACGTTGGTCGAAGTGAGATTCGAACCCGTGTTAACTAGTGCTACAGTTAAAGGATCTTACCACTTATCTATTCATGGCGCGATCAAGTTCCTGTAGGACTGTAATGGATATATTGGTAGAGAGAACTGATCCTGGATTTACTCATAGCTACCCGCTGAAGAAACTATTTTAGGCATTCAATTATGTCTCAACTCTACTGACTCCTAGCTTAGAAATAGGGAGTGAAGTGGTTGGTAGAGCGTGTTGACCACTTCACTTATTTGGGAAGTTCCATCAACCAGCACCAACGTGTCAATTGATGACAAAATCTCAGTACGGATACAGAAGACTCGTTTCTCATAGGCCAGTGTACGCCGTCTCTGGCGTAGATGTGATATCCGGGTGGCTGTCAAACAAAGGGCGTGTGTGCTGCTCAGCAGTCACTTCACTCCGTCGTCCTTTATGTCTGTGAGACTTGGCCATTGAGAGTAGAAGACATGAAAAAGCCGGCTAGCTGTCTTTGATCATAGGTGCCTGCGTTCTATCTCCCGTGCGAAGTGGTATAATAGGGTGAACAATATTGAGGTTAGGCATTGGTCGAGTGCTAGGTAAGGAGGGGAAATCATTCGACGAGGCTGCGAAGTTACATCGATTGAGTGAGATGATTAGGACATGTGTTAAGCACGTCTGCCCAGCCATCGCCTTCCTCGACAATGGGCAATGTTAGCTGACATAGGACTGATCAGTTGGAAAAGAGCCACTGGTGGTCAAACCAAAACATGACACCCGTCAATGAAACCCACAACAGTTAGTTTAAGCCACGTTGGGAGATATAGACTTCCTGACTAGTTGGGGTCCTCGGGACGGTTAAAACCAATGAAGGCTGGGAACAATCGGTGATATGGCTCAATAGCTGGCACAGATGCATCCACTTTTTGTGACTTATAATTTCAAATGGAACTACCGATATCCAAGCTGAAAATTCCATACTTGTACTGAAAATACGGTGTGGAATCAAGCTGTAATCAAAATAATTTTTAAAAAATAAATTGTTCTTCGTTATTACTACTCTTTTTGCTACATATCTCTGTTTACTATCTCTACTTTGCATTTCTTCTACTTTCCTCTCTTGCGTTGTGTGTTACATAGAGTATGACGACTTGAACTGCTGCACATCGGTGCAAAGTTCTATGTTGAAAACATAAAGCGGAGAAGAAGGTAGAATGTATAGACAAACAGAAGGGGTAGTAATGGGATTACCAGTATCCTCGAGCATAGCAGATAGCGTTATGGATAGTTGGGAAAATATGGCTTTTAAGATATTTAGTCCTACCTAAAAGTTCCCATAGAAATATATGAGTGACACTTCCACGGTTTTAAAAAGGGAACATATCTCTAGTTTCTTCACACACATAAACTCAGTCGTAGAGGGGATTAAATTTACATTTGAGTGAGGAAATGAACAAAGAATCAGCTGTGTAAGACCGTAAAATAAAACGAATAGGAGACGATAAACTATGCACTCGCATTTATGAAAAGCCAACCGACTCTAATCTAATAGACATTTAGACTAATTCATCTCGTTATCTGTAAAGGTAGGCTCAGTTCAATGTTTGACAAACTGAGCGAAAGCTTTAAGCAGTACATCGAAAATCCTAAGTGATGAGTTGAAACAGATAGAAGAAGCGTTAGTGCTAAGTAACTATCCCACAAAATCTATCAGGAAGCTCACAAGAAAAGAAAAATTATGTATTATTATTATTCCATTGGGTTCAGAATGGGAGATAGGGTCCACGATTACCTATAATCTCACAGCTCCTCACCAAATGATCTCCTCAATGTCACTCTCAGACGACCCACTCTTCGCTTCCCGTTCATATTCCACTCGAGTGGTGGCCTGCATTGCACACGATGTCATTTGATAGCCTCCTCAACGTATTCCCAATCCATCTCCACTTTCTTCTACACACTTGTTGAGCAATCGGCTGATCATTGGTCAGTTCCCAGCCAGAGTTTTTTGATGCTAATTCTTTCTGGCCATCTGATCTTCAGTATGAAGCCAGGGAAGGTGGCAGTTGTTAATAAATGTTTGTAACTTGTTGGAAATCCTTTCCGTGACACGCAATGCAAGTTTCTGACCCGGATGGAAACACTAACTGACCGACTTCACATTTGTGTTGAACGGAATCCGAATCTTGTTGTTTATTCTGGCTGAGGTGGAGTGCAGAAGATTTCCAAACTGGTTTCAGATTGATAAAGACGTATCTTGCCTTTCCGATTCTAGCTGCCTGGCTTTGATATCTTCATCCATTCCGACTTCCTGTCGATAAAAAACGGTGCTTCCTAGATAAGAAAAGGAAAGGTAGTAATGGAATTATTAGCGATAACATAAATATGAAAGAACTTAAGGAATCTATTGTTTTACCATATGAGGGAGAGACAACTGAAATCCTTCTTAAGATTCTTAATAAGAGAGGAACTAGTGTGGCATTTAAACCTACAAATTCACTTAGGGACAAGCTCTGTAGGTTAAAGAACCCTACCGGTTGAATTAGGTAAAATAATTTACCCTTTAAGATACTTTGAAATTAATGTGGAGTCAACTACATAGAAAGAAGAGAACACGAAGTTCAGCAAAGATATCTTTTCGGCGATTTCATTTTCAAAAGCTGTACAGTCGCAGCTTTTGAAAATGAAATCGCCGAAAAGATATCTTTGCTGAACTTCGTGTTCTCTTCTTTCTAATGTCCATATGGGTGTTTTCCACGATCAACCACATAGGTCAGACTCTGATGGTGTGATACAGACATTGCGTCCCAAAGTAGTAGTATTCGCACATATTCCCACAGTCGAATACTGCATTAGCAACAGAACGCTTTATATATATATATATATATATATATATATATATATATATATATATATATATTTGAACATTCGCTTTCATGTCGTTTAATGTAAACCAAAATCACACGCTCGGTGATTGATTGGTCAAGGAATGTAAACTGTATATGTATATATAAATAGCAGTTTGATCACTTGAAAATATACCTTGATTTCCGTGTCTTGCCTTCTGCTGTTACACGACCAGTAGTCAGCTTATCAGAACATTAGAATTCGGCTAAACGTAGATTAAGTGACTCAAATTAAGAATTTACAAATTGTAACTTACACATTTTGCAGTGAAATTTCGCAATACAGTTTCTTTTTCAAACCGAAATTATTAAGATCACAAAATAGCAATCAATAAAATAAGCACAAATGCATGCATGATGTTATATTCTACGGATTGATTGATTGATCTGAGCAGATAAATACTGCTCTCATATCAACTAATAGTACTTACTAGCTAGATTGTGAAGGGTCCGAGCTCGTCAGCGATGTACTGGGCTCCGCCCAACTGAGATATTAGACCTTCTTAAAGATCGGCCTCAAACTAGGGAAACGGTCGTTGGATGTTTGTATTCCTTCGACCACTGGCTGGCTAGCTAGCTAGCAAGCACTAAAGGTTGATGTGAGTGGTATCTAACTACTCGGATCAATTAGCCAGTAGTATGCGGCTTCATGAATCAGTAATGAACGACCCCAAAGAGATGAATAGCATAAAGGAATGCTCAGCAGTCACAATCCACCCAGTATAGGATGGGATAGACCTACGGTTGTAAAAAGTAATCTAGGTAGGTAGGTAGAGGGAGAGACTGATTAATGCCTGAATCCGTTGTTCATCAGATCTATCTACGTGCAGTATGAATGGTGCAATATACTGACACCAAAGAGATATGGAAAATATTACTACGAATAGAATCTTTTCAATAATTTAATAATTCCCATTGTAGCATTAAGAACACAATATTCAGCGAAGAGACTCTTTTCAACGAATTTATTATCAAGCTGTACAATCGTATATATATGGTTTTTAAGAAAGTATATCCGGTGAGGGAATTAGGTCAAAGGTGTGAACACATGAAATAATAATAATATTATGAAATGCAATTAAAATATTTGTGGTTATAATCATAGTTTAATGTCAAGTGGCAAAATAATTAATGTCGTATATAGAATCATACATAAGGTGTGTAGATTTTAGAAAGGGGTACATAATTATAAGATCAGTAGACGAATATAAAACGTTACATAACATGGTGTGAAATTTGGTAAGATGGAATTCAATAATGTAAAAATAAAAATTAATAATGTTGGGTTTAAAATGTCAAGTTGAAAAGATTCAGAGTGAGAATAATAATGATAATAATAATAATCGTAGTAATAAGGGAAAAGTACATAGAATAACTAAATAAACAAAATAAATAAAAGTCTATCCCTCTATGGCCAAGGCAGAAGTAGGGATTGTACATACTTCTTTTGTACACAAAGTCTGGCTTCAAGTCATGAATTGCCAAGGCCTCAGCTGTCTTTAGAAGTCTGTAACGAAGAAAACGCGGAAAGTTAGCATGGATTCTATATATGATCTTAAAATCATGGTCAGGGTTGACAGAGTGACAGAATTCGATCAGGTGTTCCAGAATAGAGCTTCTCACACACTTCCTTTCTCCCTTATAAAAACATGCTGGAATATGTTCTCATATCCGTGTGGAAAGCGTTCTCTGACTATGGCCAATGTACATTGCTCCACAAGAGCAGGTGAACAGATAGATGCACATGGAGGCGGCCAGATGGGGGAGCTTATCTTTTACAGAAGTAGG